CCTTCGTATCAAGAGTCGAGCTCCCCGCACTTCCAGCCCTCCTGGAGATGAATGCCAGCCCTTCCCGCGCCAATCCTGCCCCAGCAGGACCCTCCTCCTCCTCCTCCTCCCAGTGTGGCATTTAGCCCGGCCGTAGGGAGCTGCAGCGCTCACCTTTTCATCCCACTGGAAGTCGGGGGCGATGGTGAGCTCCACTTTCAGGGTGGAGCGGGTGATGGGTTGCAAGTGGACCGAAAGCTCCAGCTTTGGAAACAGGTGAACGTATTTGTGGATGGTCTTGCCCATCTTGGGCATTCGGATCAGTTCCCCTGCAATGGGACAGACGGACAACGGGGTGACCGAGGGCTCCCGAACCGAACAGCGTGCCGCACCGGCACTCCAAGCGGCCGGAAGGCGCCAGGGCAAAGGCTCTGCCCTCCTCAGGCTGCACCAAGCCCCTCATCAATCAGCCAGGAACAAGCCTCCCCCCGCCTCCCCCCCGAGTCTTTGGGTCAAAACAGGGCGGAGGAGGACAAAGAGGCAGCGCCCTCTCCCTGTACCTATTTCGTTGTGGTTCAGATCGTAGAGCCGTTCGAACGGGAAATTCTTCTTCTCGATTTTCTTCACCACTTCTTCAGGCAGTTTCTTGAACTGGCGCAGCGGGCACATGGACTGCCACCTGCGAGGACCCCGCGGGGTGAGACCAGCGGAGGCGAAGCCTTCGGAGCACCGGGGTCCCCCACGCTGCCAAAGACCAGCCCTCGGCACCTCCTTCTTCCCCCCCCACCCCGCCAGGCGGCTCCTGCCCTCCCGCGGCAGACCCAGCCAGGCTACGCCGAGGAACCTCATCCAGAAAACCCCTCCGAGACCTCACTTACATCCGTTTGTCAATCATCTTGCAGAGGTTGAGGGTCTTGTCGGTGAGCTGGGCCCAGCCACGGTTCAGGACGATCTCGAAGATGGCACGCATCAGCCGCCCAGCAGACTGGGGGAACAGAGAGAGCAGCTCGGGCTGTGACCATCCCTTTTAACCTTTCCTTTCTACCCATTTGCCCACCCAGCCAGACGGTAACAGAATGGTTTGGGTGGGAAGGGACCTTTTAAAGACCACCTAAGTCCAAACCCCCCTGCCACGGGCAGGGATATTTTTCACTAGACCAGGTTGCCCTGAGCCACGTCCAACCCGACTTTAAACGCTTCCAGGGACGAGGTCTCCACAGCTTCTCTGGGCAACCTGGCCCGGTGTCTCACCACCCTCAAAATCCTTCCTCACATCCAACCCAAATCTACCCTCGGTTTAAAAACATTACCCCTTGTCCTATCGCTACAAGCCCCGGGAAAAAGCCTTTCCCCACCTTTCTTAAAAGCCCCCCTTTAAGTGTTGAATTATACTTAAAGGTCCTTCATCCCAAACACCCACACGTGGAGCAACCACTTGATGCCCAGCCTCGGGAACCTGGCCTTTGTGGCAGAAGGACAGGGCTCTGCTGCAGCTCTCTAGCGCTGAATTATTTTCATTACAAAGCGGAGACTCCACGGAAAAGGCGATTCCCAGCCCGCCAGGGGTCAGGCCTTCTCACCCCCCGGCAGCTCTCGTTATTTTCAAAGCCATTTATGACACAAACTGGATTCCCAAGGTGCAAAGAGTTGGTTGAGATGGAGGTGGGGCTGGACTGCACGCACCTCCCCGGAAAAAGAGAGGCCCCAGCCACGTTCCCTCACTCACCTGGGTAACGTACACCATGTCTGCCATGAGAGCGAATCCTTCCAGCTTCAGCTGCGAGATGAAGGCCTGGAGGAGCACGTTGATCTGGGGAAGGAGAACGGAGAAAGCCTCAGCACCCTCCGCACCTGAGCCCGCTGGGCTCTGCCACGTGGCAGGACAGAAGTGACCGAGAGGCACCGACTGTCCTACGCCGCGGCACGGCACGCTCGGCCACAGACTTCTCCAGCTCTTGGGGCATCGCTTGACGCAGTCCAGCACGTCCCACAGAGGGAGGGGAACAGAAATCCTTCCCCCAAAGTGACGTTTCCCACGACAGCTCTGCCCTCGAGGAGCAGGGCTCCCCTCCAAACAGGCAGGAGGCCCCCGGAGGAGGCAGGCAGGGCTCACCTTGGCACTGGGCTCCTCTATGCTCTCCTTCACCGGGATGGGAACGCGCTCCAGCAACTTCTGAAGCTCGAGCTTCTCCTCCTGCAGAAAACCAAGGCAGGAGAGATGAGAAGTGTCCCTCCCAGGGCAAGCTCTGCACCTCCCCCTGCAGCAGCAAGGCCGATGCCTCAGGGCTGCCCCGCTCTGGCTCCGCACCTCCCTCACGGTGATGTTCCTGAACTCCGAGGACAGCGAGAAGACCCGAAACAGCTCGATTTCGCTCAGGGTGGGTTTCAGGAGCTGATTGTAAGTTTGCATCGTCTCGTTGGTGATGTAGTAGTGGCTGGCGATGCGGCCCAGCTCCGTCACCTGCCACGAGGACGACAGCCGGAGTGAAGCAGCAGGAGGGCGCCCGCCCGCCCGCGGCACGGACGGAAGGTGCTCAACAGGAACGAGGCTGCAGCAGGGGAGACGCCTCCGGACAAGCTCAGCGGAAACTCCCAGGCTACGAATCCCCCAGGAAAGCTGCTTTACCCGGTACACGCTTCCAAACCATCACCCCCCCCCTCATCTCCCCGCCTCCGGAGCGGTGGAAATGCAACGGGAACGGGAATTTGCTCAGAGGGCAGCAGCAGCCACGGGACAACAGCTGAGGGTGGGGTTTGACGGCAGCAAACAGCCCCCTGGCAACCCAGACGCGCCCCAACAGCGGGGCTGAACGACCCAGCAGCCTTCCCTGGGGTCTGTATTTAACCACCGAGATGCCTCTTGGATCCTTTCCCTCGGGCGGAGGATGCTCCCGCCCAGCTCTGCCTGGTCACAGAGCCTTTCCCAGGGCTCACCTGGAAGTTCCCCGTCTTCTTGTCGTACTTCACCAGGTTGTTCTTGTCCAACATGAGGGCTGCCGTGTGCACCAGATCCAGGCGGCGCTGGTCGAGGAGCGGATCCCCTTTCAGATCGTCGTGGGAGATCCCGTAGAGGGTGGGGGAGCGCAGCATTCGGATGTACAGGTAGGTGTAGCCCAGCCAATTCACCGCGTCCTGAGGGAACGCCCAAAGGCGCCGTGAAAGCCGACGAAGGCGCCTCACGGCGGGGAAGGGCACGCTCCCAGCGCTCGCGTAGGACACGGCAGGCTGAGCCCCGCCGAATCCTGACTGCTCCACATCAAACCAGAGCCTGGAAGCCCAGCAGTGCCACACACAACTCTTTTTTTCCAGTACCAGCAAAATATTGAAGAATTAAAAACCCCACAAACCCCACAAACCCCACTCTCCACACACAGTGTGCTCCGAAAGCCTCATCTGCCCGCTCAACCTTACAGGCTGGTAGTTCTCGTGGCTGCCCTTCCAGATCTCTTCACAATTTGCTCCCCAGGCACCAAAGGCCGTTAAGTTTCTTTGCTCCCGGTACAAGGGCGGCACCTTTCCCCGACACGGATCATCCTTGGGATCCGTGGGATTCCCACCCGCCCTCCGGTGAGGGATTCGCACTCGCCTTTGCGTTCTGGACGTTGCCGAGCACAGTCTCGGCGTTCAGCATGTCTGGGAGCTTCGACACCATCTGACTTTCAATGGGGAGCTGCTGGTTGAGGAGGGACAGGTAATACTGCAGCTCGCCGTGGGAGGTGATGAGGATCCCCTCTCCTTTGGTATCGTACTGGGGCCTCCCAGCACGCCCCAGCATCTAAGAAACGAGAAGGTGAGGTCAGCGAAACATCAAAAAAACCTCCTGGCTTGGCCATTTCTCCTTGCTGCCGTGTCCTGGGGTGTTACTGCCAGACTGCTCCGTCTGCGGTAGCTTCGAGCTGGCAGGAGACAAGCAGAAATATCTCCGGGCAAGAGGCTGGGAGAGGAATTATTTGTCCTCTTTACGGATCTACTTCTCCGCCCTCACAGCAGGGCTGTTCCCAGAACAGCTGAGACAGTCTGACAGTAAACAGGGAGCGACTGCCTTGAGACAACGCAAAAGCAGCTCCCAAACGGGGCTCAGCGGGCACGGGAAAATCCTGCACCGGCTCCTGGCAGCACCTTTGCGAGCAGAACTTCACCTGGAGGATGTCCAGAGCACCCAGCTCGGTCCAGCGTCCCTTCTCAGGGCTGTACACCTGCGTCCCCTTGATGATGACGGTGTGAGCAGGGAGGTTTACACCCCAGGCCAACGTGGCTGTGGAGACCAGCACCTGCAGGAGCAAAACAGCGATCAAAGCCAGGTCGAAGCCTCTTCCTAAGGAAAAAAAAAAAAGGATCTACAACGCTGGTCCTGACGTTAGAGACACGCAGAAAAGGGACAAAGACCAAGAACTGCGACTGCCTCGACGGCGCAGCAGAGGAAGGTCAGATAAACAGCAAGATCTTTGCCCAAAACTTCCCAGCTCACCGCAAGACCCTAAAGAAAACCCGTCACCACCGATTTACAACGCGGCCAGGGAATTGCTTGGATGAGCTTTTGCCAAAGGGGCAACTGCGGAGGAGACAGCCCCGCTCCGGCACAGACCTTGGAGCCCTCAGCTAGGCCTAGGGGAGAAGTTCTCGCCCTCTCCACTCCTGCCCACGTGCTTTTCGTTTCTATCCTTTCCATGGAAAATCAAGGCTGCCTTCGCCGGGCGCCAGCTTCAGCAGGGTGGGCGAGGCTGGCCCCTCCTGATTTTGCCCCAAATCGGAAAACAGGGCTCCAGAGGGGGTTTTTTTGGTGAAGTACTGACCCCAAACCAGCGTGTGACTCCTCCTGGGGAGGGAGGCTCACCTGGATGTGCTTGTCAGCAAACAGGTCTTCCACCAGCGTCCGGTCCACTCGCGTCATCCCGGCGTGGTGAATGGCGAAGCCGTAAGGAAGGAGGTCCTTCAGCTCCAGGTTCTGCAGCAGAAACACGACCAGCTCGAGGTTTTCTACCCCAGCCAAGTAACTCCAGGGTGAAAAGAAGCGACAGAAAGGAAGGCAGATCCTAAAGGAAAGGCTGCGGAACGGCACCAAACCGACAGCATCTCCGTGGCCGCGTCCGGACAGCCCCGGCCGGGCAGTTACCTTGCATTGCTCAGCTTCGGTCCTCAGCACCTCGGTGGAGGCTGAGCCCTCCCTCAAGAAGAGGCCCAGGGTGTCTTTCTCCAGGCACATGTCCCTGATGGCCCGGGCAGTCTTCCCGGTCTCCTTCCTGGAGTGAACGAACACCAGCACCTGTTAAACAAGCAGATGGCACCGTCACCGCGAGCGGAACCGCTACGGCTGCAAAGAGGCTCGTTCAGGGTGGGCAGAGATTAGGCCAGGAGCCCCGTGAACCACGGACAGAGCTCCTGGTTTAACAGGAGAGCATCAGGAAAACTCCCTCATCCTAAAAGGACAGGTCATACGCGAGTCAAGACAGCTGGCACAGAGAGAAAACCCGGCATCCTCCACCCAAACCCACCCTCTTCTCCGTCAGCAACTCCAAAGAGTGTCGCCAGCGACCGGCAAAAACCAGGATGAAGCGCGTCAGGAACGGTAAAAAAAAAAATCAAGCCTCAAACCTGGTTCTTTCCAGCGTGCTCCATAATCTTCTCGTAAACGATCTCATTCATTATCTGGAAGCGTTTGATCGCTTTCTTCTCTGTAATACCCACGTAGGTCTGCTCTAGGGGCACTGGTCGGAAGCTGTAAGGAAAAAAAAAACACAGTCTATAAAAGAGCAGAAAAAACGGAGAAACCCTGATACAAAACTCCTGTCCAAAGGCATCCCGTGTTCCGTGCCACCCAGTTCAACGCGCTTCCTCTGGGCCTCGATTCACTGGGAGATCTGACGGCTCCAGTTCTGCCCAGTTAGATTGAACAGGAGGGGACAGTAACCCGTATTCCCATTCCCTGGAATCCATTTGCTACGCACACGCTCAGGGAGGGACTCAAAAAAAAAAAATAGTGTTTCAGGAACTACTACAGTCCTGGTTTAGGCTTCCTCCAAACGGCGTGTGCAGCACACGGGGGCAGCAGGGTTTATCTGCCTTCTCTCGAGCATCTTCTCGCAGGTGTGACGATGCAGGAACCCCCGGCACGCCCCTGGGAACCCCCGGCACGCCCCTGGGAACCCCAGTGCCCGTTTTGAGGCTGTGTTTAACTGCTCGAGTCCTGCACGCGCATTTCCCGGCACATCAAAGGCAAATAAACGCACGTGGAGGAGGCCGAAGGCCCGGCGAGACGCCGGCACCAGCCGACAGATAAACCCTCGATGCCCGCCGCAGGAGGCAGGGCTGTCCCAGCTCTCCACAGCTCCCCACCCCCCCGACTGTAACCATCTCTCCCGGCTCTCCACGGTACCTGTTATCGAAATAGAACAAGCCTTTGGCCGGGTCCACTCTCAGGAAGGTAGCCACGTCCTCGTAGTTGGGGAGGGTGGCGCTCAAGCCGACGAGCCTCACGTCCTCCTGAGTCATCTCGATGTTGCGGATGGCTCTGGCCACCAGAGACTCCAGGACAGGGCCCCGGTCATCGTGCAGTAGGTGTATCTCATCCTCAAGAGAGGCAGCAGGAGCAGCGTTAGACCCTCACGGGCAGTTTCATTCTCGGCCCGCCACCGCGTTGGGAGAAATCCGTGGATTTCACAGCCCGCACCGGCACGCGCTCGGCGCCCAGGGAGGGCAGGGCAGAGATGAAAG